ATGTCTTTTTTCTCTTTTCCATCTTCTGTATTCGCTCTCTTTTAGTCTCCTGTTTGCTCACCTAGAAATAAGTGGATAGGAAATCAAATATTGGGAAAATCACAAATTTATCAATTGAAAAAAGCGCTTTGTACTTTTCGATTCTCTAACTGTGTAATTGGACTTATTTAAATGCTTTGCATTTGATTACTTTTACTTTTGTTTGTGTCTCTCACCTATTAAAAATGTCATAAATGTAAAACAAAATAAAAAAAAGATATGGAACGGAGAAAAAACTAAATATAGCGAAAACAAGGGAGGAATGATGTTTTAGGACTTGGGTTCGAAAAGCTGAAATATACTCCTAAGTGGGATTCTCTTGGTTAGACGGAATAGAGTAGAAAGTGAACGAATCATGCAAGTTGACATTGGAGTTGGAGCTTCTGAAGTTTCCCTTCAGTGGAAGAAAACTTTTTGGATTAGCATCAAGGTTGGAATTTTCTTTCACCTGTTTTAAAGATAGCAAACAGTCAGACGGAGTTAAGTCTATGGTTATCCAAAGGTATTGCTGTTCACGCCCTCGGTGTGATTTTCTTCTTAAAATATTTTAACCGTTATTCAGCATGTTTTAGGTGTTATTTTTGTGATTGCTTGTTATAATCTTTGGAGTAGCTGTTTTGTTATCCATTTGTTATATTTGGAATTAATTTTCAGGTTTCGTTGGCAACAACAGTATAGAAGGGAATATCCTGAAAAGTTCTTGAAAAAATCTGATGCCAGGTAGTCTTTCTTTGCCGGTTTATTTTCCCTTTCTGACTAAAGTAATTTTATCTTCTGCATTTTAGGCGTTGATTGAGTTCTAAATTTATACTCTATTGCAATTCAATGTGGATACAAGTCTATTGAGAAAATGGTCGAAGGAAATATAGGTTTATTTGGAGGTTGAGTTGAGATATACCTCTGGAAATTTCTTCTTCCTAAGTATGAAAGGATCAAAGGATTTTTCCTGATTTTGTCATGTAACCAAGTTCTTAAGCAGCATCATTTTCTTGTTGCCCTGATAACATGTACCAATGTCATTAATTCTACAAATATGTGGACATCCATAATTGGCGTGATTAGTAAAGATATACAGTCCTGTGGACATGCAATACCTTTTATTACCTTGTGTCTGTCTCTTGGGCAACCTTGTGTCCAATATTTTGTGACTATCATAGAAACACAGGTTTTACTTATTTCTCGGAAGAAGTCTCTTTTTTCATTTTGTTTTACTCTTTCTGATGTGGACATTGGTTATGTTAGCACTGCCATTTCCAGTTTCGTTGGCTCATGCCAGAACCATCTTTTCGGTGGTTCCAGCAGTCTACATTAATACTAACTGAAGAATTAATGTTCTCTCTTTTTTTTTTTTGGTGTGTGTTATCTGACTTAGAAATTTATGTCTTTTCCATTTATTGTACGATATAACATTTAGCATGTAGGTTGTTCTAAAGGCTATTTCAGTGACTTCTTTATACGGATGCCATGTAATGGCCAAAAAGAGAGTTTTGTTTGTTTATGTTGGTTATGAGTCCTGTATAAGACTAAGACTATGTTCTAGGCATCAACTAAATCTTTTGCATAGTTCATTGTGTAGCATAACGGAAAAAATGCCTGACCTTGCCCTGAGCTAATGTCAGTAGCATCTGTATTTGAAATATGATACAAGTGTTTTTCCAGAAATATTTAATAACCAACCTAAATATGTTAGAATTCATATCAGTGATGCTATCTGTTGATGTTTGAGATTGTAACTTGTAACATCTTAATCTTCACTTTTTGTAGGGGAAAAGGTGATTACCAGATTGATTATGTTCCATCTCCTCGGGTGACTGAGGCTGATAAAACTAATGATAAGAAGTATGTGGTAATATTTGCTTATACAATCTTAAGAGGAGAATGTACTGAAATGGAAAAATCTCAAGATAAGTTGCAACATTTCTTATAAAATACTAGACCTAGCTTTCTTGGCTTTTTTTTTTTTTGTTTCATTGTCAAGCTGTGTATTTTGCATTTTCATTTGTCTGTTGTTAATAAATCCCAACCTTTTGTCTTATTTCCAATTGCTACTTTCTCAGAAAGATCAATAGATGCTTTTCCTACCATTTTTTGGTTAATAATGCAAAGTTTTTCTCTACAAGTATATTGTTTATGCTTCAATAAATTCTCGTAATTTGTGATAATATAGAGTGAAAAACATTTTGGCACATTTGAAAAATCTATTGGAATCTTAAATTCAATGAAGGAATGATGGAATATCACTTGTAGTAGGAAATCAAACTGGAGTCGTTTTCATCATTTTGACAATTTTCGTTTGATTTTTGAAGATCGTTAGAGAGAGCCCTTGACAGGAGGCTTTATCTTCTCCTTTACGGTACTGCATATGGGTCTCCTAGTGGAAAGCCAACCTGGCACTTCCCTGAGAAAGTTTATGAGTCTGAAGGAACTTTGCGCAAGGTAATGGTTGCTTGCTGTTCTTTCCTTTCCTTTCCCCTTGAGAAAATTATAGATTTGAATCATGAGAATTAGAGAAAAAGTCATGAATTGCAAATATTGCAGTGTGCAGAATCTGCATTGCAATCTGTGGTTGGAGACCTTTCCCACACTTATTTTGTTGGAAATGCTCCGATGGGTCATATTGTTGCACAGCCTTCCGATAGTAATCAGGACCTTCCATCTTTCAAGGTTGCTTAAATTTTCCCAGTTCCTGCTGAATGTTATTATAACTTTATCCATGGTCATTGTTTTATGATAAGTTGAATAATTTTCTTTTATGGGAATGCGCATCTTCTTGTTAGTTCTATCCATTGTCTAAACCCTCCTTCTTGTTATCTGGGTGGTTGGCAGCGTTTCTTCTTTAAATCTCAAGTGATTGCAACCAACAAATTCAACATCGGGAGGTGTGATGATTTTGTTTGGGTGACGAAGGATGAATTGTTGGAGTATTTTCCGGAACAATCTGATTATCTCAAGAAGATGATCATCAGCTGATGTTTCTCCATTTCGACCTTATGCTGCCAATAATATTTCTCGAAGGTTCAGTCATGTATTTCTGACCAAAAAATTTTGGACTTTAAGATCTAGGGACTGAAGCATTTCCTATGTTTGGTAATCCTTTGCCAATTTAGTAGCCCCATGAAAAATGTGGAGAGACTCACAGAAAAAAAGAAGAAGTTTATGCTGATGATTAGGAAGGCTTAGGGCAGGTGCTGATACTAGTTGTAAACTGTGTTATGAACGGTCTGTTTAGATAAACTTCTCGTGCCTTTGGGACACTTTAATACACCGTCTTGAAGTTCTTCTTGGGAATCCTGTTCCCCTTGTTTGATGAAGTCATTACTTTGAGACTTTAGATACTGTTTCATCGGGAATGACATGTAGAATTTCTAGTTGCATGTCCTATGGATCTTCCCAATGTTGTTGATCTGAGATTGGTAATTTGGTAGTCAAAAGTAGCAGCAGCTTGCTTGTAGCCCATCTTCTCTCTTAGGGTTATAAACCATGCTTGGAGATAAAGGGCAACATAAGAGGTCATCTGCATCTCTTAAGATTTGTATAACAAATATGGTCATGAATTATTTAAGATCATAAGAGACGAGGAAAGAATGCAGGGGATTCATGATTCAATTTACAGAATGTTTGTCTAGCAGTACTAGATGCAGACTCAAGATCCTCTGGCGAACAAATGCTACACCGCTTTTGAATGCCTAATGGTCTCTGCTCATTCATCATCCTCTGGACGCCTTAAAAATCTGTTCAAAATCAGGCCACATTGGTGGCAGTTAATAAATTCTCTCAGGAATTTGTGCAGAGGGGTGTCAAAAATAAGTGGGTGTATCCCTGGTGGATCTTAAGGGCCGCTCTGGAAAATGTTTCAATTGTTCATTTTCATTCATGCTATTTTGGAGGGCTAAATGAGATTAAAGATTACATGACACAGGACTTTTGGTATCTAATTTCGACACTGCCTCTGATTGGTTTGCCGGTTCGAATCTAGTTTTGACTAATTCCTTGGCAATTATATTGAATCGAACCAGAGAAGTTAGCCAATTTCTCAGTGGAATAATTGGAATACAATGCACTCCAAGCTAGTTGGATTTAGTCCTTCAAATCTTGTAGGCCTGAACGCTGTCTTGCCTGAGGGCCGGTGGTTTAAGGTCTTGTTTGGCAAGCAAGTTTTTGCTCAAGTTTGTCTGCTACAAGTTTTTTAACTACTTTAGCTACAGTAACCTCAAAAATCTTCTCAAAGATTTTAAACTATACACTTCAAAATATCCAAAAATTTACACACTTCAAAAATTTTTTTCTATAACTTCTACAGTAAATTACAGTAAAGTTTTAAACAAATACTCAAAAAACTCACTTGACAAATGAGGGCTAAAGGGAGCGATTAGATAATAATGAATCAGCGGTTTGGTTAACAATATTTAGCAAATTGCAAAGCTTTCGGACCTTTGGCGTGTGTCCTTGACTACTGTTCCAATTGCCCTCAAACTGCAGACAGGAAAGGGGGTCACTGCTTGGATTAATTTATATCTTTAAGGCAGTTGCATCAGCATGTTTTGATCACGACACGAGAAGAAACTGGATTGTGTGAGGTAAATAATAGACAAGGCAATCATGCATGGTCAAATGCTTTGGTTGTACCGAAATTTACATATGTCTTGGGGCACGTTTCCTTCTGTCTCTTCGTGGTAGGGGAGTTGAACAGAAATTAGTTGAAATGTAGTTGGCTCCAGCAGCAGTCTTATAGTCTTACTTGCTCAACTCAACTCAGCTCATGAAGACTGAAGATTGTAGATGAGAAAACACTACTAGTTCCCTGCAAGGCTTCAATTTCAAGTTTCATCTCCAGATAACCATGCAAATAAACTTCTTTCCCCAAGTTTTGATTCCTCATTGTTCTGATGCTTGTGTTCTTGAGTCCGTTTAACCTCTTCTCAACCTCCGCATGCCACTAGTATAACTCTTCTATATTCTAGCCTAAACTCCCAGCACTATAATACTACCTCAAAATCTCGTCATAAACATTCTTTTGATCCTCCTCTGATTTTCTCCCTTCCCTCTCAATCTACGTTCTAGAGAGCATCTAGATGGTCAGTGGACTAAGATTCTTGGATGAATCTGAGGAGCAGCCCTCTTCTGTTTATGGAAGGACAAGATCAAGAAACCCCACCATTACCATTACCAGTACCATCTCCGCCCACCAATCCATCCTTCCTCTTTGCACAACCCCACCTCCCATCTCCTAATTCATCATTGATTTTTCCAAATATTTCTCATTCTCAACCCCTAGTGCTTCAAGATAATCTTCATGACTTGGTAGGCCTCTTTTCTGCTCCACCTCCCACCCCTTCTGGCATTCCAAATATTGCCCATGATAACACTAATGATCAAATAATGATGCCATCGCTGGAAACTGCCCCTTTGACCATCTCTGATAATGCTGTTGCGCCATCGCCTGAGGAGGTGGCCATCAAGGATAAGATCAGAAGGGCGGCTAGCAGCAGTAGTAAAAACAGAAAGAATGCGGTGCCTAAAGTGGTGTTCCAGACAAGGAGCCCGGATGACATACTCGATGATGGGTATCGCTGGAGAAAATATGGACAGAAATCTGTGAAGAACAGCAAGTACCCCAGGTACGTACTTGTATGTTTTACTTTCTGTCAAGAAAAGTTATGAGACTTTTACTTTTGTATTTTTGTGGACTTTGCATTTCGAAACAACTGGACGTTCAAGCACTTGTTAGTGTACAATCTCTTGGCCGTGTGTTTGATAATCAATGATTTTTGCGCTTTCAGTAACTTGGATCCTTGATCAGTTGATCATATCTGCTATGTTTAAAATAGTGGAATTACTTTTACTATATCGCTCTCAAGAAAATTAAGATGTGGTACAATTAACAAAGGCTATCCTTTTTTCAAATGAATTGGTTCTTATACCAAACTTTGAATATCTTTCAGCATCGGTATAATTGAAACTTTCTTAACAGTATCAAATGTGGAAGAAAGAGTTGGGGAAGAACATTTTAGAGTTACATTATTAAAAGTACGTCAAAAGTTCCATTTATGCATTGTTAGAGTTTAAAGCAAGAAAAAAATTTTCCCACCTAAACTTTATTTTTTTTACTAGAAAAAAATGATCTTGGAAAGAATAACAACGCACCACGAATATCAATATTTGCCGTCCAAATCTGGAAACCATGCATGTTTCTATTGTCTTATCAGATTATGGGGGAAAGAAATTAAAGCATACAAGAAGTAAAACATTTTTGTGCCATAGATAGGAAATCATCAAGTATAGAACAACAGAATACAGCAAACTTGTTTTTTTTGTACGTAGTAGTATATTTCAATGAAGCTGATTTTGGTGGAGGAAGTTTTTGACATCCCTTATGATCGATTTGATCTGGTGATCTTTCTTTTGCCAACTGATGAATAAAATGGACAAATGAAGGAGCTATTATCGGTGCTCGCATCACACATGCAACGTCAAGAAACAAGTCCAGAGGCTGTCAAAAGACACAAGCATCGTTGTGACAACCTACGAAGGAATTCACAACCATCCCTGTGAGAAGCTCATGGAAACTCTTTCTCCTCTCCTCGAGCAAATACAATTCCTCACCAGGCCGGTTTTAATGTAACCATACGAGAAAGCTCAAGCCAAGTGCTCAAGTGGATGCATCCGCCTGTTTGTATGTTACCTCTTGCTACTGCAATACGTATGTATAATTTGGGTGTCAACTTTTTTTTTTTTTTTTTACTAATTTACATCAATTTTATTCAAGAATATGTGACAATTATGTGCCATTTTGTTCCTTTTTTTTTTTTTTTTTTTTTTTTGCGTATAAGTTGTGAGATGCTATATATTACTGTATGTTACCTCTTGCTACTGCAATACGTATGTATAATTTGGGTGTCAATTTTTTTTTTTTTACTAATTTACATCAATTTTATTCAAGAATATGTGACAATTATGTGCCATTTTGTTCCTTTTTTTTTTTTTTCCTTTTTCTTGCGTATAAGTTGTGAGATGCTATATATTACTGTATATTACTACATCATAACATCTAGGGGTGCAAACGAGCCGAGCTCGAGTCGAGCTTTGGCTAATCGAGCCGAGCTCGAGTTAATTTTGTGAAGCTCGAACTTGAGCTCGAGCTTAAAAAATAAAAAAATTTATTATTATTTTATTTTTAAAAATAAAAAACAATTATTTATTTTTAAAAATGAATAAAATAATAAATTTTTTAATAAATAATAAAAATATTAGGGATATATATGTAATTTTACTATTAAAATAAAAATAAAAATAAAATATATATATATATAATTGAGCTCGCGAGCACGAGCTTAATGTTTTTGAGCTCGAACTCGAGATCGACTTAATTAACTCAAACTTGACTCGAACTCGATATTGACAAGCTCGAGTCGAGCTCGTATTCGAGTTCGATTCGCGAAACACCCCTAATAACATCCACACTATATGATGATGTTCAGGGGAAGGTAACAATTATTAATAGGATAAAATATAGAAAAGCCCCTTGAGATTAAGCGAACGTACAAAAAAACTCCATATAGTTTCAAAACATATACTCTAATATCTCGTGATTTGAATTAATTTAAAAAAGCGACGAAAATCATCTGAATTAATAGGTTTGAAATACACCGCTTCCTTTGAGAGTATTTGTACTGAAAACAAACAAATTTTTAGTTGATATACCTATTATACCCCAAGAGTTATAATACAAAAAAGGCCAATGTGGTTAACCAAACCTACAGAAAAGTCCCTTATGGTTTTAAATCATACAATACAATATCTCGTGATTTGAACTAATGTAAAAAATTGACAAAAATTATTTAAATTAACGAGTTTGAGGTTGCTTGACATGGAAAATAATTTTTTAAATCAAATTTTTAGATGATATACTATTAAACCCCTTAGAACTCATAAAATTTCCAAAAAAAATCCAAAACTCCCAAATACAACTCCACTTATTTGTATACATAAAATAAATAAATAAATAAAAATTTTCAAATAAAACTCACCTTATTTCTATACACAAAATAAATAAATAAAAACTTCAAAATACAACTTACTTTATTTCTATGCACAAAATAAATAAATAAATAAAAGCAACATGTAACCATAGCCATAGGGGGCTTTTTGTAAATTGGATTAACCACAGAGGGTTTTTCCTTAAATATGCTTAAGAGGATCATTGTTGGAAGGTCTTTTATTACCTATCTATATATATGTTAGGGTCATTTCATCCGCCTCTGTTAGTTTTGACAATTTCCGTTGCTATTTCAAATTAGTTCAAATCATGAAGGGTCAAAATGTATGATTTGAAACAATAAGAGATTTTTCTGTAGGTTAACTGAATCATAGGAACTTTTTTGTATTTTACCCTTATTAATACGTGTACATGTGTTAGCCAGTGCTGGACATCACTTTTGAAAAACCCTTTTTTTAAACCCTTTCTTCTCGTTCTCATCCTTTTGATGGAGTCAGCAGGTTTCATGAGAAAATGAAATCCGCATCGTTTTTTCCTCAATGCATGACATGAGAAACATATTTCTTCTATGGAAAATAGGTGAAACTATTTTATTTTGAGAAAGTAAAGCTGTACGGCTCACCGTCTGCCTACAGAGTAGGCCTTGTTAACCCAAAAAAAAAAAAAAAATGGCAAGAAAGAGGAAGCTCTAAACTAAGAGCTACTCACATTAGAACAAAACTAAAATCTAAAATGCACGATAGAGACATGTAAAGCAGCAGAGTGGCAAGGCCAAATTTAATTTAAACGGTAAAAGATGTAGGAGACAAAAAGACAGGAAATTGAAATTAAACTTGCAACAAAAACTGTGATGGGCTCTTTGTATTCAGTTCTAAATGAACGATGATGGCTAAATATGTATTTATTTGTAAGCTATTAAATAGAAAAAACAAAAACTGTACACTCCCACAATCCTACACTTAACCATACAATCCTATCTCACAGCACACTCCCACGAATGGCTGCTTCAGCTCCTTAATAATGGATTAGTCGAATCTACTAACTACGCTTTTATGACTTCGTTTGAGAAGCGCTTGCACTTCTATCAGCAACAGCATTGGTTAATGGCCCACGAATAGATACTGCACTGGAAGGGGGTCGCGAAGCTTGTGCCCGCAGTGTTGGTTGAATGCCAAACTGTTGTAGTGCAGCAGAATAAGCCTCACCTCTAAGGCCACCCCTCATCCTATTTGTAGGCCTCCAATGTGCTGATTCACCATCAGCTGCATCTAACGACTGCAGTTCATCATTTCTGATTCTTCTTGCCTCAACGACCACTGTTGAATCAACCATCATAGAATTCATCCTCGAGCTTGCTCTTGGTGTTGTGAATAGAAAAGGAGCGTCTTTTGGTAAGCGGGCAGCTTGATGAACAGCACTGCTGGTTTGGATTGTCGCAATTCTTTTCCCCGGTTCCATTGGAGCGGGAACTGAACTGCAGACCACACTCTCAGTGTTGCTCAAGGCTTCACCTGTGTTCAAGTTTGAAAGACTCCAGTGCTGTTGAATTTGCTGCTTGAAGGACAGCCTGGTTGAGGAAATGTTAGCACCTGAGCTTTGTGCATGAGGAGGACCATCTTTTTGAAGAAGCTGGACAGAATTGTGATGAGAGCCATTGTTTACTGGACCCTGTGATAAAGTAAAACTTCGTAATATTGCAGTACTGAAGATATACAATGAGGAGGAACAAACAATTCACGCTGCATATATCCAATAATAATCTACCACTTAGCAAATAATGGTACACATAACACCACGTAACAACAAAGCAAACTTCCTGAGGTAACAAGTAGATAGAACATTCGGGACACTGTTGCAGGAAACCTTCACCAACTAGAAGTGTCAATCTAGTGGAGGCCTGGTCTCAAGCCAGTATGCCTACAGTTATGATCACTGAATTATCAAACCTAGCCATGAAAATATCAGTCTCTGCCCATCTATTTCTCTAGGTGGAGAAATAAATTAATCACCATCATACATTCTAAAGAATCATGTTGGGGCATTCCAAATGGATTCCCTGGAATTAGCCATTCACAAAGCACCCAACGTACCAGCTTCTTCATCAAGTCGTTTTGCACTTGTGGATGGTGAAAAGAGGTGCTGCTACATGTAGAAGGCTAGGCATCATTCGTAACCCTGTCATTCTAATGATCTTATCCATAAAAATCACAGATACCCATTTTATAGATCTTGTAGTTAATATCAAGAGTTAAACATAAAATACTATGGTCATACTAGACATTGTTTTTCATTTCTCTCATTGACTAAATAATACCCATGCTTGAATGAAGCTAAAAGAGGAGCAGACTCCAATGTGGTTGGGGTAATAAAAGCTGGTAAAGAAACACGAACCAGAATGTTCAACTTGAAAAGACAGAGGAAGCTATACATACCTTGATGTTAAATGCTGAGCAAAGCACATTTAATGGGGGCTTCTGTGTGGGCACAGAAGTTCCAGCAGCAGAAACAATTTCATTGTAATTCTGCAAAGATGTGCTTCTGTCTGTTGTAGACCTACTCTCATCATTCTGCTGCCCAACTTGACTGTCTCCAGACATTTGAGAGGGATGGTCCTTGTCTTCTTTCCATGCTCCATTTGCTGACATAATAACATTACCAACCTTTTCTTCTGCCTCACTCAAGACCTACAAAGACGCAAATGATCATCCATCCAAAAAAGTAGGCTAATGAATGTGAAATCTGACAGACCTTTACAAAATTCGGGTCGATGCATATGTCCACATAGCAAACTGGCTGCTTGCAATGAGGACATTCCCAAGAAGGTCTCTTTGAGTTGATCTCCAGGAAGTTGTCATAATCAAAGCACTATTCATGCAAAGAATTTCAAAGAAAATATCAGAAAAGACTTGACTATTAGCCATAATATTTGTTACCAGTCCTTTGGACATCGAAAAGCCACTGGTGCCAATTACTATGCAGTCATAAACCATAGAATATGAAGGCAATAGGTGGATGCTCTGTACTGAAGGTCAACAGGTTCATAGAAGCTGCAGCTATGTGTACTGCAGAATTTGGAATTCACAGGATAAAAAATGATAAAAGAGAACAAACTACTGTTATTATTTACTACGTTACGGCTGGATCAGTTAGCTCTGAGATGATTGATGCCTTCCATGTTTTATTTATCTCGGCCTCTAAATTTGTACAAATAAAAATTAAGAGAGGCAGAAGAACATTAAGCTTTATAATATTTTGGGTAACAAAAAGGTTAGTCTCTAAAAGTATTCAATTACAGCCAAATTAGTTTATAATATTTTAGTTTAAACAAATGACAGAAAAGTCTTTAAGTGTTGAGGTGTGTTTTAGCAATCCTAGAAGAATGGATATACCAGTTTGTTTTCAATATTATTCATTACACAAGCTTTCAAGAAACTTGGAATAATCTTCTTTGTAGTTCATAATCAATAGTGAGCCTCCATTGTATCTCTCCTCCACGTGCGATTTCCAGAAAGCCACAGAGGGGTTTCTATGGTTCGTAGATTTTTTCTTAGTTCCATTTTGTAGCTATAATCTTCTCTTTATGGTTTCCATTAGATGACACTCTGTTCAACAAAAAGTTTAGAGCTCTTCTATATAACCAGGCTCAGGTTCATTTTGCAGTTCTCTTTGCTCCATTTTTACCTTAATCTTCTCTTTCGTGGTTTCTATTAGTCAAACTTTGCTGAATCAGTACTTGTGGCTGTTTTCAATCAATAAGACTCCAGATAAGTTTGACGGTGTCAGTAATCCT